TATACTCAAATGTTTTCTACTGTTGCACTGAATAACCCCTAGAAGTTTGATCCCATAGTTCTGAAACACCCTGTATATATGTAATGATGAGGTAACTTTGTTTATCGCAAGCAAAAATATACGCGAACAAAATACACTCGCAACGCAACGAACGAAAACACTTCTTCTCGATATCAGCAGCGGAAATTTGAAATTATCTCGCCACCGGAATTCGCTAATTTGCATGTCGGTCTATTCAGACGGATATCTCTAAGTTTCGCTCTCGCGGTATATTACTCGCGTTTTCCCATAATTGCGCTCCGTGGTAGATATCGCGCGAGACATTACCGAACAAAAATATACATATCGATAACAAACTTCTTACTTTCGTGTATCCGCACGTTATTCCACATCGCGAAATGTTTAGTCCGTCAAGGAATATCGGAATATCGAAAACATATATTTTCGATCGACGGCTTTAACGTAAAATATATATAAATATATATATATATATACACAATGCGACGTGCAAAAACCTTGCGGCAGCAGTTTTACACGCGAAACTACATAAAAACCGTGATGAGATATTTATCGAATTTTGTTCAGCAAGCCAATGTCGGCAAAGTGCATCGTTAAAATGTTAACGTCATACATAATGATGCAACATTATCGGTGTTACGGTTAAAACTTTGTTTCTCTTCGAAGTATCAAATATCAGTACGTTCACTTATCGAATATGAGGAATTCTCACGTGTAAGTTATACAAAACATCTTAGACTAGAGTAAAAATTTTACTGCTTTTTTTTTCCCTGTAATTTTCGAATTATTCAGTATCATCGATATCTTTTTTTTTTTTGTGCTTCGCTCGCGTTCTCGCTCGTTTTTTCCGCCTTCGATAATCAAAAAACAAAAAAAAAAAAAACATCTTATTTTTCTTCGTTCAAATGTAAAGTTCGTGTCGCGCTGCTTTATATAACGAGCAACGCCGATTAGCTCGTACCAGGCGGAGACGAGGTTCGTCGTTACACACAGAGAGAAAGAGTAAAGAGAGGAGGAAAGCTTGCATATCTCGGGAGAGATAAAGACGAGAAACAATATCGGGGATATTCCGGAAAACAGAGAAACAAAGACAGCCAAAGACTGAGTGCACGCGAAAAAAAAGAGCGAGAGAGGTCGGATGAGGGTGAGGTGAGGAGAGAGAGACCGGGAAACGCGAAAGAGATCACGCGCGGCGTTCGACTTTCGCTTTAGACCGGAGAGTGTCTTCCAGTCTGACGGCGCGGCGCGGAGAGAAGTCGCTCGGTTATACCTATATAGATAGTTGCCGGGTGCGATCAACAGGATATAGCCGTGTGTGAATTGCACTTATGCTCAGGTAACCCGCTCGAGAGGCTAATATATGTACGCGTACACCGTGCTGAAACGGTAACGAGGGGATTAAATGTACACTTTGTGCGCCGCGAGACGCATACATTATTGTGAAGAAGAAGCTTGAATAAGAAGCTCAGAGAGTACACGCAATAAAGTGGTTTGTTGAAAATCCACGATGTTCGCACATGTTGTGTACGTACATACATCTCACTGTTATACATATGTATACATCTTATTAAAAAAAGTATATTATCAATTAATTATATCATTAATTAGTAATTATCAAAGTACACGTATTGATTAATAACAATACAATTTAAATAAAACTTTTTAAAAAACAAAGTGTATAAGTAACCTACAATAAATTACCGTTATATCTAAACAGTATTATTAATTAATTACATCATTATTTTTGAATTAGTAATTAATAACAATATAATTTAAAAAAATTTTTATGAACCTTGTATGTAAATAACCTATAATTAATTACTGTTATATTTGCATATATGTGTCTTAACTATCATATTATTAATTAATTACACTAACAATATATATCAATTTTTTTATCAATCTTATACGTAGAACAAAAACAATTTGTAGACTTCTCACAAGAGTCTCTCAACTCTGCAAGAACTCTGTGAAATTTCGATGACAATTTACTCGCTCATTTTGACTCATTGCGGTTAACGTGGTCGTTTCGCTTTTGTTCGTTCGCTTTTCTTCTTTCAAAGAACGCTGGAAATTATGTCTACATCATCTTAATCGCTTATAAGCGAACATATTGAATTACCTCTTTCGCGGATCTTCGCGTAAATGTCGCGCAAGGCCGCGCGTTATTATTTGTTTTACGTCGAGCATCATCGTTCTCACACACCGAAGGAGAGTCGACACACACCGGACACACAATTGACACAACAATGTGTATACAAGCGGAATTAAATGAACGACGCGTATTAAATTACGGCAAACAAGTCATTGTCATAAATTGAGATGCGTCGAGATAAGAAGGTAATTTCTCGAGTTTAATGATCGTAAATTTGCAGGTTGCTCCGAAACTTGCTTCGCTCGGGAATCAGTATTTAGGACCCGTGGAGCGAGCGAGGAAACTACTCTCACCCGGAGAAGTGATTTCTCTCTCTCTCTCTCTCTCTTTCTCCTCCCTCCTCCCTCTTCCTTGCCGTCAATCTCGCGGACTCGAGATAGAGGCGTAATACGATCACTTAACCGGTCCGTCTGGCGACGAAAACGTTTCATCTTCGACGCCTCATGATCGCGTGATGAAAAGTATATCGTTGTAATACACGCGTTGCGAACCTACCCATCTTCTCAAACTGCGGCGAGCGCGCGCGCGAGTAACAACCGATTATTACGACTCAATCGGCACAACATCAATCGTGTGAGATTTCGTTCGGTCGCGACAACATACGGTCTTCTCGTTTAATTAGAAATTTCTATATACTTCGCATTTTCCGTTCGCGGACGCGTGTAAACGCGCGCGAACAGGAAGAACAGAGGGAGAGAGAATAAAGATCTATCACAGCTATAAACCGCAGAGAAAAAAAACAGTTCGATATTGGCGCGGTGCTCGATTGAGCGCGGGCAATCAATTTCCACCGCGATGCGCGATCGATGAAACGTATACTGTACAGGAAGTTCAAGTACCGGTGGATGTGGAAATCGAGGTCGCTCATTGCGACCGTGTGCAGACTATAAGGAGCGCGCCTCCGCTCATATACATTCTACACAGAGAGCAGAAGCGCATTATTTGCTTAATCAATCGGCTCATTCACCAAACGAGGGAAAACTTTGAATTCGTACATTAACAAGCGCCGAGAAGAACTCGTGCGAGAAGCCGACGCGAAATTAGAACAGCGCGATCGACCACGTTGATTTATTGCTCGACAAAAAAGCACCGCGTGGTGAAAGTTACGATAGTGTAAA